CCGGCGGACCAGGGCCATCAGCCCCAGGGGGATCTACACACCCTCCTCACCTCCCTCCTTGCGCCCATCCAGGCGCAACTCGCGACCCTTGCGCCCATCCAGGCGCAACTCGCGACCCTCGCGCCCTTACAGGCGCAGGTGGCGACCCTTGCMGCCGRCATGCAGCAACTCCAGGACGCTGCGTGTCCGTCATCTCCTGGCTCCCAGTCCGGGTCCCCCGTCCTCCGACAGGGTGGCCACGGCGGAGCCTCCTCCTCCGTTGCCCCTGACCCGGCCATCTTGGTGACTGTCCACGCCCCTAGCATGACGGCCGCCACGAGCCAGCCTCCCCCTCAGTCTACGGGCGCACCCGCCCAGATCCCGGTCCCTACGGCCACGGTACAACAACCCGCTACCATGGTCTCAGCTTTTCCGGGTGCCCCGCTTCTCCCTCCCCTTCGCACGACCGCAGCGCCACCTGACTCTCCCCTCTCTGGGATGCCCCGCGCCGCTTGTGCGTCCACCCCCTCCACTCTTCCTCCTGCCACCCCTCGATCGACCTACGTTCGGGGTCTCGCGGACGAGATTGCCCAGCTCCGGGCCGACCTCGCCCTCTTACGCCTTCAGCCACCCCCACCCTCACAGGTGGCCGCGCCTTCCGGCGCACCCCCTACCTCCTCTACCCTTCCTCCCATGCAGGCTCGCTTTCCGCGCCCTGCACCCTATAAAACTCCTTCCTACCTTCTTCCTACTCCCGCGGTTGCTGCGACCTCTTCTACCGCAGCACCCTTGCAACCTGCCGCTGTTGCCACCGCCACTCCCCCATGCGGCCCGGGCGCACAGTTAGCTGCGCCCCTTTCTCCAGGACCTGCGCCGACTTACTTAGCCGTGGCACAGGCCTCCGCTCCTCGATCCCCTCGCCGCCAAAACGGTGGCGCACCACTCATCCGCTTGTCGGACATTGCCTTGTATAACGGTACAGGCATACGCGTGTCTCGGTGGCTGCAGTCTGCCACCCGCAGACTCCAGCTCATGGGCGCCACACCCGAGACGTGGGTGGGTCACCTCTCCACGCGCCTTTGTGGCGGTCCTTTCGAGGCCTGGGAGGATTTCTATGCCTACTCCCTTCGTGAGGGTCGGACTCCGACCTTTGTGGATTTCCAGGCGTTCATCGAGGATCGGTTCGGAGCCCGATACGACGCGACTGACGCCTTCGAGCGTGTCGTCACTACACGCTGGTCCGGCTCTGGTGGCGCTGCCGGCCTGGATCGCCACATCCAGGTCTTTCAGGACGCCCGCCTCGTTTGCGGCGTGGCGTTCCTCCCCGAGGCTGCCCTTATCGATCGTTTCTTGGCCAGCCTTCCGCTCGAGTACCGCTCCGAGCTATGGCGGTAYGAGTTCACATCGGCCCCACAGGCTTACGAGGCCGCCAGGGACCACCAGCGGATGCGAGCCCGTCTTCACCCCGCCTCCTCCTCCCAGCCCCAGCGCACGGGCTACGCCTCCTCCTCCTCTCACGCCACTTCCCAGCGCCGTTCCCCTTTCCGCGGTCGCCCCCGCCGTTCCACGCATCAGGGCCGCCACTTCTCGTGCCGCTTCAGCGCGCTTGAGTATGGTGAGCAGGACGTTGTTGCCCCACTGTCACATGAGGGCGACCACAACGACGACCTCGATCTTTTCGAGGCCGTCCACTATCACTTGGAGGACTCGATCCTCCCTGCAGCTGAGCATCTTCAGCTCGCGCTCTCCGCCCTCTCTCGGGCACGCAGCCGCCCCGGCCACGCTGGCGCGTCGCCCCCCGAGGTTCCTCAGGAGGACCTCCCTCAGGGCTTCGTCCCTCCTCGCGGTGTCCTTTCCGCTGAGGAGCGTGCGGCTATTCGGGGCTGACGTGGGTGTTTGCGTTGCCGCTTGGACGGTCATACCTCCTCGCAATGCCCTTACACTACCGCCCTCGACCGCCACTATGCTGTTCTTTCTCGTCAGCGTCGTGCTCAGTCCCCCCCCGGCGCCTCACGTCCAGGCGGCACCTCCTAGCCACGGTGCAGTGTACACCTGCGCCCTCCTCAGTAGTGGGTTTCCCGACATCTCCGTCGCGGTTCGCCCCTGGAGTTGAGGTATCGCAGGACTCGACAGAGTGTACTCAGCCCTCTGTCGCAGTACCCTCTGCGCCTCCGCAGACCACCCTCTCCCCTCCTTCCCCCCCGTGACTACCGACGTGTCGAGCCATTCGCTCAGCCCGTTGCAGCGAGCAGCTTGCTACTCGCAAGGACGTTGTGTCCTCTCTTCTGGACTTGAGCATGCTCCAGGCTCGTCAGGAGCGACTCACCCTCCATGTCGCTGCACTGCGTCGCCTTCTTGCCATCCTCTCTGACCCTGATCGCACCCTCCCGATCATCCCAGTACGACTCGGGACCTCCACGAGGGTGTACTCAGCGCTTTGGGATTCCGGTTCTCAGGGCGACTTCATTCACCCACGTGTGGTGAAGGAAGTCCGCTTACCCACGACAGGGTCTCCGACTCCCATCTCCGTTACCCTAGGGGATGACAAGACCCAGCGCTTCTTYGATCAGACGGTCACCGACCTCCCCTTCTTCCTCACTCTCGAGCCGACTGATCGTTCCCCGGCGTCTCGTCGCCATCACTCCTCTGCACATTTCGATGTGATGGAGACGGGGTACGACTTCATTCTCGCCCCTCCGTGGTCTCGTCGGTTCCGCAGCACCGAGGCCGATTGGGCGACCAACACTCTCGTTCTCAAAACGAAGTGTGGACAGACGTATCGTGTACCTTTCATAGGTACCACGGCGATACCACGCCCCGATCCTGCTCCCCCGGAGCCTTCAGTGCCCACACCATCCCCCTCTATCACTGTCACCTCGCCTCGRCAGTTCGCTCACTTCATTCGACAGGACGACGTCACCTTCTTTATGGTGGACGTGACAGATCTCTTACACTATGATCCACCCTGTCCCGACGCCGAGCTCATCCCTCTGGAGCCAGATCCTCCCTCTGTCTCCATGGCTCCCATCTCTACTTCCGTCCCTCCGCCGTCCGTCGAGTCCACCCCGCCGTCGGGCGCTGACTCTAACGCTGAGGAACTCGCACGATATACGGCTGACTTGGAGCCCGCAGTTCGTGACCTCATCCGAGAGTACCACGACGTTTTCCCATCGTCGTTCTCGTACGCCGGCATCCCACCGATGCGTGACGTCGAGCACTCCATTCAGCTTGTGCCTGACTATCGTGTTCACCACCAGGCACCCTACAGACTCTCGATTCCCGTGGCCACCGAACTCAAGCGTCAGCTTAAGCTCTTGAGACTGGGTTTCATTAAACCCAGCAACTCCCCGTGGGGTGCACCCGTCCTCTTTGCTCGCAAAGCGGATAAAACTCTTCGTCTCTGCATCGACTATCGTGGTCTCAACCGCTACACGGTTAAGAACAGCTACCCCATGCCTCGTTCCGATGAGTTGTTCGACCGCCTAGCAAAAAACCGCTTCTTTACGAAGATTGATCTTCGTAGCGGTTACCATCAGATCCGCGTCGCTGCAGCCGACCAGCCGAAGACAGCGTTCCGATCGCGCTTCGGCCACTACGAGTTTACGGTGATGCCATTCGGCCTCACCAATACACCCGCCACCTTCCAGAGGGCGATGAACGACATCCGACATCTTCAGGGACATCCTGGAGCAGTACGTTCTCGTCTACCTCGATGATATCCTCGTCTACAGTCGTATCCTTGAGGAGCACCTCAGACACCTCCTCGACGTCCTTGAACGCTTGCGCAGACATGACTTCTACGCGAAGCTGAGCAAGTGCCGCTTTGCCCAGCACAAAGTGAATTTCTTAGGACACTACGTGTCTGACCAGGGTCTCCACACGGACGACGCGAAGATCTTTGCTATTGCGGAGTGGCCCGCCCCCACATCCGCCAAGCAGCTTCGCAGCTTCCTAGGCCTGACCAGCTACTATAGTAACTTCATCCGGGGATACGCTAGGTATTCCTACGTCCTTACCTCCACCCTCCTCCGGAAGAACCCACCCTGAGCTTGGACACCCCTCCACGAGGACGCCTTCCGCGCCCTCAAGGAGGCGGTGACATGCGCACCGGTTCTTCACCTACCCGATTTTGATCGCCCTTTTATCCTTACCACCGATACGTCAGACTTTGCTGTAGGAGCAGTGCTTTCTCAGGTCTTCCCCTCGTCCTCTGACTTCTTCTCTACATTCTTACCTCCACCCTCCTCCGGAAGAACCCACCCTGGGCTTGGACACCCCTCCACGAGGACGCCTTCCGCGCCCTCAAGAAGGCGGTGACATGCGCACCGGTTCTTCACCTACCCGATTTTGATCGCCCTTTTATCCTTACCACCGATGCGTCAGACTTTGCTGTAGGAGCAGTGCTTTCTCAGGTCTTCCTCTCCTCTCCTGATTCCTCTCATCCTCGTATCCCTCGCTTCCCACCACTTACCCCTACCACTGCTTCCCGACTGACGCCTACTCGTCCAGCTACTGGAGAGGCCTCTATTGACTATTCTCCTACCATCGCCGAGGACGACACTGTCGAGTCTCGCTCAGGTGATTGTCCGATAGCCTTCTACTCCCATCAGCTCCTGCCCGCCGAGATAAACTACACTGCTGATGAACGTGAGGTTCTCGCAGTAGTTTATGCCGCTCGGCACTGGCGGCACTACCTGCACGGGGCACCATTCACGGTGCGCACGGACAACTCTGTTGTCCAGGCTTTTCTGACCAAGCCGAAGCTCACTCCTCGACAGGCTCGCTGGTGGCGCGACCTATCCGAGTTTAGTTTCACCACTGAGCACATCAAGGGTGAGACTAATCGGGTCGCAGATGCCCTATCCCGGCGCCTTGACCACGACCAGGAGCAGATCCAGCTCTCTTCCATCTCGGTCACCMCCGTCCACCACTCGGTGATCGTCGAGTTTCGCACTCAGTACCGCCACTGCCCCGACTATCGCGACATCCACGCGACCCTTCGGAGTGGCAAGACCGTCCCGAACTACTCTCTCGGGGACAACGRTCTCGTGTACTGGCACGGTTCACAGGGCACCAGAGAGCCCCGTATTTGCGTTCCCTCCACTGGACAGCTACGTGTCTGAGCAGTAGCCGAGTTCCATGACCAGGCAACTGCCGGTCATATGGGCTTCCACAAGACGTTGGCTCGTGTGAGCCGCCTGTACGTCTGGCCGAAGCGCAAGGACTTTGTGAAGGACTACGTTGCAGAGTGTCCCACCTGTCAGGAGGTGAACAGTGCGAACCACCTGCCTTATGGTTTGCTCCAGCCTCTTCCTATCCCTGAGGGTCGTTGGCAGTCCATCTCGATGAACTTTATCGGTCCTCTTCGTCCTCCGACCCCTCGCGGTCATGATGCTATCATGGTCGTCGTCGACCGCTTCACGAAGCGTGCACGCTTTGTTCCGTGCCGCTATGCCATCAGTGCACGTGAGGTCGCCGACATCGTGTTTGACCGGGTCGTGTGTGACCACGACTTACCTCTGAGCATCATATCTGACCGTAACCCGCGCTTTACCAGCCGATTCTGGCGACGACTCCACGAGGTATACGACACTCAGCTCCGCTTCTCCTCGTCTTACCATCCTCAGACTGATGGTCAGACCGAGATCATGAACAGGACTCTCGGAGATATTCTTCGAAAGATTGTTCGTGACGACCAGCAGTGGGATCTTCATCTTGCCCACGCGGAGATAGCCTACAACCACGCCGTCTCGCCGGCCACGGGGATGTCGCCTTACTATTGCGACCTCGGCTATCACCCTCGTGTTCCCGCGGACTTTCTTCAACCGTCACAGATGCACCCCGACATAAGTTGTCCCGCGCTGGATAATTGGGTTGCACACATGACGTCGATCATGAAGACCGCAAATGAGCACATAGCCGCTTCCCAGACTCGCATGGCAGCACGTGCGAACCGATCGAGGATGAACCATCCATTCAAAGTCGGTGATGATGTGCTTATCGACGCCCGCCACTTACAGCTCGAAGCGGACACCTTTCGCAAGTTTCGGCGTCGCTTCTTTGGCCCATGCCGCATCCTCCAGGCCGTCGGTTCTGATACGGCATCTAGCCCGGTCAGCTTTCGTGTGAAGCTGACCGACTACCTACGCCAGGCTCGTGTGCATGATGTCTACCACGTCTCGTTACTGCGTCCTTACCGCAGACCGTCTGAGCGTTTCACTGGACGACCATACGAGCGCCCTCCACCCCTCATTGTGGACGGCCACGAGGAGTTCCTTGTTTCAAACATCATTGGTCGCCGAGTCACCAACGACAACCTCCCCACGTCGAGTATCTCGTACGTTGGAAGGGTTACCCTGATGAGGAGGCTACCTGGGAGCCCCTCGAGCACTTGCAGCACGCTCGCATGTTGGTGCGTGCCTATGACCATGCTCGTCGTGCTGGGTTCACTGCTCCTCCTCAGCCCACTGACCCTCCTCCTTCTCCCCCGGTTGAGGAGACCGCTGAAGTCGAGCCTGCTCCATCTGAGGCAGACCTTCAGCAACAGCCGGATGCTTCTGAGCGTCCACAACGCACTTGTCGTCATCCTGCTCGATACGACGATTGACTCTGACTTACCTTCCCACGTCTTTGACTTCTCAGTACTCCATCCACTCCAGTTTTGCTACTTCGGCTCGTCGACGTTGTGGCTCTTCCTCGACGGCATTCCGGACTTCTCATCGTGGACGTCATCGTCAGCTTCATGGACTTCATCACGATCAGCTCTGCCTACTTCAGACGTCGCCACTCTCTTACCACTCTATCCTGTACAGTACCCTGCTTGTGTCGCATGATGGTCTCGCTTTAGCCGGGTTCCTCTGAGTTGGGCTCTCCCTTGGTATACGCATAGGCATCGGGACCGTAGCGTTGCCCTGGCTTCCCATCTTACGGATCTAGCTCCGACTTCCCTCACTTTAGGAGTCATTTGCATGATTCCCTCACCCATCGTCTTTCTACCCTTCGCCGGCCCTCACGCCCTAGTTAGGCAGCCCCGCATGCTTCATCTAGGTGCGCCCAGTATACCAGGCTCCCCTGTTCCTTTGCATGGTCGATCCTCCATAGCGGTCACCTCTTAGTCGAGCATTACCCGCCCTGATGGTCTATTTGTTAGGGTCATTGGTTCTGTTCGCTCTCAGTTCCCTACCCTCCTTGAGCCTGATGACATGTGTCTCCCTGTTATCTATGTATGGATGCCCTTAGGAGTTTTCGACCCCTAGGCTGCATTCGCCATCCTCAGAGACCATCCCACCCTTTGGTTTGCGACACACTTCTCATGTGACATGTGATAGACTTGTTGTTGCTTTGTTGCTCGCAGACTGAGGCTACTGCCTCTGACATTTCTAGGATTTAGTTGTTCTGCTTTTGCTGTTCTTAGGACTTATACACTAGTCAGTTGTTACCAGACTGAGGCTAGTGCCTCCAACATTCTAGGATCTAGTTGTCACTACTTTCTGCTTTCCTAGGACATGTATGCTAGTTAGTTGCTTTTGCTTTCCTAGGA